TCTTTCCCTTGCATAGAGTTTGACTTAAGTAAACAAGTGAAGACAAAACCCGATTCTACTTAGGTAACCAATTTAGCTTTGACTAAGTACACATACTTGTTGGATGAATCTCATGTAAGAGAATTCAGAAAACAAATACAGGCAGCAGAAAATTTGTGCGTCCTTGCATAGAGGATATTGAGAAAACTCTCATCTCTGCATCTAGTTTGATTTATCATGTGGTGCCTATACTGATAATGTTCAAGTGAAAAGGCTGGAAACACATCTCCCTTCCCAGCCAGATTCCAGATTGGGGCAACTATCAATTAAATCTAGACCTAAGAAAATAATCTGATGACCAATAACAGATCTGTAAAAGACTGACAGGGAACCAACCACACAAGAAATTAACATCCAAAGCCATTATTCTTCTGTGAAAGTTCTCATGATTTACCAATATCTTCAATTTCTTTGTCAAAATGAATGCAGCAGACACACCAGAATTTGAGATTAGACTATTTACCGAAGAGGGTACCCTCCCGGTGGAAGAATTAAAAGCAGAAGTTAAGGCAGCTAGTGCTTCAGCTCTTTGCCTTAGTCCTCCTTGGTTCCCACCGTTTGACTTGTCCTGCAACAGAGTGATAACATCACCCACCCAAGTGACACGAGAGGGGAACAAATACAGTAGATGATGAAATATGGAAAACATGGAGATGACCAACTCACATCAATTGGCATCTAGACAAAGTATTTACCTCCACAACGTGATTTGCACCGAATAATAAAGCCACCTTCTTCTGGAATGAGTTTCCTTGAGCCTGCATTAGAGGGGAAAATATCAAAGAAAGGCAAACTAGGGAAATAGTAACAAACAAGCAGAAATATAAAGAAAAAGCCATTAGTCACGGTCAGATTTTATTATACACGAAGCCTTTAATTCTACACTTTTGCTCTCTGTGAAAGTTTTAGATCCTTGGTTCTTAATATTCACAGTATTAACTGCAGAGCTTCTACACTGTTATTTTCAGATGCTGCTTCATACTAACAAGAGAAATGCAGTACTCTAACTTCTTCATAGTGTGTTAGGATGCTGCAGACAGAATCACGCAATTGTATACGGCAGAGCAAAGTAAATCTACTTCTTCCAAAAGAGTTGATTATATTTTCCAATTTAATCAAAGAACTAGACGACAAAATTAAGTTGTTAACTAGCCTTTCTTTTGAAAACAAGCACCGAAAGAAATCTAAAACATAGTTTCTAGGATAGAAGAACTTACAAAAGCTTTAGCGGGTTCCCAAGAAAAGTAAGTGGTGAAGAAACATGGTTCATTCCCTTCAGTGATTTTGTACAGTGGAACCTTCAAAGGCAAGCCCTCCAGGGAAGCAGCCATTTCTATGTATCTCTGCCCATGAACCATACAATGAGAGCACAGTATTCCACAGGAGGAAAGGCAACGTGAATTCGAAAGCTGATAGGGCAGTGTACCTGGCCAATATCGAAAGCCGTTTGTTTTTCCTTAGAGTCCACATATTGACCAACCCATACGAAAACTTCAGCATGAGTGTCAAGTACATACATATCCTCAGTTAAGAGATCATCTTGGGCAAAGTTGTGAATCTCCTCAACCTGTGGAACATAGCGTTAGAGCATGCCAAAAAAATTTCTAAAAAAAAAAGAAAGTTAGATAATCGTTCGCTGAAATCACACCTGAAACTTTCCTGAGGATCCGCGTAGGCACATTTAAAAGAAGAAGATAGGGTTAGAATGTACTTGGTTTCCACAATAAGCAAAACATTAAAATAAACTGTTCACCTATCAGATAATTACTATTGTATAAGAAGAGCAAAAGCCGAAATAATCTTTTTAAATTTGCGAATTGAAAGCTCCACCTTTGTTGAACGAGAACGAGAACAAGTGCGGATCCCTAACAGTCTCAGAGGAAGCTTTCTTGCTGGTAAAGTTCTGTTTTCCCCCAAGTGCAAACCAAAAGGATGAGCTCTCTGTTCCTTCTTTGGCATGCTTGATAGTAACCCCAGGCTGACTTAGCAAGAAAGAATGCATTTAGATTGGACCGATTAAAGAGTAGTAGCTCATTGGACAACTTAAGTTAGAGATCTTATAGCAAAAGTTTGATTATATTTCCTCTGACGGCCTTGAAAAATATTAGCTTGCTAAAAAAACACAATAATAAGTAGAACACAACTGACAAAGAAACAGCTTCAGCTACACTAAAACAAAGAGAAAGCAATTAGGCATTACCTTTAAGAATTCAGCAACTTTAGCAGCCAGTTGTTGCTGCTCATGTGTACTTTGATTTCCATGCCAAAGGAACATGGAAGAACCAGATTGCAGAAGGAAGCACTCATAAGAGTTCAAAGATGTTGCGATCTAAATAAAAACAAATCAGGTATAAAGGCTTCTCGTCAAATTGCAGCATTCAAAAATAGAGAGCCAAATTTTCACACAATGGAACGAAAGAAAAAGATGGAAAGAGAAGCTAAACTGGTCAAGTACCGCTTCAACTTGCAATGCCTTATTATTGTGAACCCCAGTTCCAGACACTTGAATTAGCGCAATTGAATCTGATGTGTAGGCTTCTTCTTCTGGTGAACCTTTCTCTGCCCCACTATTCTTGTAACCAGAGCTCAAACCACCCTAATAGTTTGTATAATCATATTAAGCCATTAATAGTCTGCCTTGCAAAAATAATCAAATCCCATCAACTCATAAGGTAGATCTGAGATACCTTAAGAACCACCATAGGTTGAAAAAGGGCGATAAACTGCGGAGGTTCTTTACCCTCGTGTATACGTCCCTGCATGCAAGAAGGTCGCAATGTTCACCGAGCTCACTAGTACTACTACTTGCCACTGCTAATTATGACAAAATACGGTACCTGCACTGGTCTTCCCTTTAACGAGTTGAACATTGTATTCGCCAAACGCAGTGCTGTTTCTTGGTCCTCCTGAATTAGAAAAATGAAAAAATATTACATGGAATTTTTTTTTTTGTGGTAAAAGGTTATCGTGTTCAAGATGTATGTATGGCTAAACGGAAAAATATTTGAGATTGCCCCTACAGTTATAAACAGAAAAGCCAATACAAAATAATGAACGAACTGAAATCGAGGATTTTTTTTTTAATCAAGACCTGTAACAAAAATGCACATGCATGATCTGTGCTATAAATTACTCAAATGCAATGGAAAAGGGAAATTTACCTGAATGCTATGGTTTCCGAACCAACAGCACAAGAAATAGTCTTCTTTCCTATCACCAGAATGATAGGTATAAAGGACCAAATAACTGTCCCCCGAATAAAACTTGCCTATATCTTCCTTGGCTAAAGGAGTTTTGGCTTTACCATCAACGCACCAAACCTAGAACGTAAAAGAAAAAACAATATTTGGATTAATACACCCATGACAGAAGCAGAAATTAAAGGTATAACAAGTCCGAACACACAACAGACCTCTAATTTTCCACCTCCTTCAAGCAGAGGTGGAATATCCTCACTCACTGGGGTGCTTTTGGATGCGCCCTTTAGCCCAACACCTTGTTGCTTAAGTAGAGCTATACAGCAATAAATTAACATATTACGTCGAGACTAAAACCCGCAACTATTTCAATTTTGATAATGGAAGTCAAAGTGATCTTTTACCGGCGACCTTTCCCCGTCCCTCTTCACTACCAGGAGTTGCAGAGCCTGATGGCCAAGAGTCAAAGTTAGACTTGAAAGAATGGGGCTCATAACCTTGGATAACACGAGTTATGAGTGTTGCCTTTGGCCTATTTTCACTAGCAAGACAATCCTGGAGATGAAGGGAAAAATGAGAACCCATGCTCAAACAGAAAGCGGGCAAATATACAAGAAAAATCCAATTTTTACCTCGGCAGCTTGGCTAGCAGCCTTTCTCTCCTCCACTTGAGTTACACGGCCAACCCAAACAAATACCTCAGCACCACAGTCCAAAAAGTAGCATTTATCGTTTTCCAGTAAGGACTTGGATAGATCGCCCTCTATAGGTTCCAACTGGCCATTGGCAATGCTAAAAGAACAGACAAAAATAAATTAATACTCCTGTCAGTAACTGCAGTTTTAAGTTAAGCAAAACGTAGAATTGATCTCACTGCAGAAGGCATAGTTATCTGGGTGCATCTGTTCCATGTTTTAGAGCAGCAAGCATTTCAAAATCTCATGTACAAAATAGGGACACATCAAAAAGAGAAAAAAAAAAGGTACCTATAAAGCTTGGGTGGAGTTGTCTCTGGAATAATGTCATCCTCACTGGCAACTTTCCTTCCGATTGGAGCAAAACCACCGAAAAGGACCCAGAACTCGCCAGAGTCGGATTCTGTATCTAGTTTTCCATCATCTGTTGCACAGATAAATTACCACACATCCATGAGCTAATCTTTAAGGCATTCTTCGGACACACATAAACTATGTCAACACAAAGAAACGATCCTTTGAGAGCTCAAATGCCATATTTAGTCACTGAGATGAAAAAAATAAGCAAGATGGTAGGTTTATATTAAATTGTAAATGTGTGTGCAGTGCGCTTACCAACAATCGCAACATCGCATGTTCCTTCATGATACTTATCTTTCAAATATTGAACAACTTCCAAAGCTTTGGCTCTCTCCTGAATGTTTGAATTTGCACCATTAAATTGATAGATCTTCTCCTTTGTGTCCAAAATAAATACATCATCGTGATTCAGTGATGCACGGGCAAAAGGAACCTACAAAAGCAAACACAGAATTTTATGTACTTTACACACTGTTCTAATGCCAAGAGCACATACACAATAGCTCAATCAGTTAGCAAAAAAAGTGAAACCTGCTTCAACCGGACGGCACGTTTTCCTTTGCAGATATACAAACGGGTTTCGAACTCTTCTTCTTCAGGCTTTCTAAATCCAGACGCAACACCGCCCTCTAGCGGTATAATGCATGGCTTGAAGTAAGACAAAAATTTGTCAGATTCATGACCCTGAATTTCCCTGTGTTGGACAGCACGGCCTCCAAGGACTGCGTCAAGTTCAACTGTCTTGGCTGCTGCTGTTCCAGCTTCATCCTGGAACCATCAATATCAGATTAGCATTACACCCAGTTTCCCCTTTTATTTTCTTCCAAATAATCAAAGCAGAGCCAATTTTATGGTAAAAACAAAAACCAAAATTAGATACCTGACTTGTATCTTTCCCAATCCAGAAGTGTATGTCATACTGGTACGCACCCCCCTTATTTTGTGTGGTCTGCCAAAATAGAATATAAATATAATAAGAATCCAGAGATAATAAGGAGCATATCTTTAAATGCATAAGAACGTAATGGAAGAAGGAATGTTCCACTGTCTTGGGAATATATTGAGTGGATGAAACATTAGAGGAAAAAGGTGGTAGAGGAAGGAATTCTCAAACCTGCAATATAATGTAACTATCTCCCATGTAGAACTTCCCATGTTCAGACTTTGGCACCAGAACTGGTTGAAAATTCTCGATTCTCCAGATCTCAGTTCCACTATGAGATGTCAAGTTCAACAACCTCAGACAGCGAGCCAACCAAGAAAAACAAGTGTGCGCATAAAGTATAATGTAAGTAATTCAAGTTTTCTTTCTAATATAAAATCAAAGAGATAAAATGGTTATGTCGTTGAAGGATACGGTTTCTGTCCGATTCCTTGGAACGCAGGATCCAAGACCTTGGTTGACGCAGACATTTTTTATATAGTGGCCTGTCCTTTCCTTTTAGTAATAATATATAAGATGCACGCCAAGAACCTGTTAAAAACAGTGTGTTATCAGCTGTAACTTCAATAAATGGCAGTAACTAGACTGGTGAATATAGAATGAAACTGCAAACTATTAATTTCTTGGATGTTGCACAAACAAAGTTCAGTGAAAGTGGGGCAAAAGGGAAACTCGGTAAAAAGATAAATAGCAGCAGAATCCTGGCTTTTCTTCCTAATGCAACCCCCATTCATAAAGGTAAATAGCAATCACATATGAAACTAGACGCAACTGTGAAGAAACAAGAGTGTTGCAAATACATACAAGTCCCATAAAAAAAACAGTAATATTTAACGATCATTCAAGAAACTCAAGTTCAGTATTCTTCTTGACTCCATGACGAATGTAAAGAACCAAAAACCCAACACGATTTTGAATTCTTGGTTCGCCAAAGGGCATTGGAGACATGCTGATAATCACTAGACTCAACCTACACCACGATGTCCACCCAACAAATGTCGGATGGAAAGTGTCCTGAATCCTTGATGATATATGCTCAATGGCATTTGCAGTTTGCAGACTTCTAAATGGCTGTCCTGAAGGAAAAGCATTGATACCACGACTCCCAGCTACCCTATGTTCCGTTACATAACTACACCAGAAAACTAATGAGATATGTTCCTTAACAGATCCAGAACCATGTCCTGATAACTTGTCAAGCATCAGGATAGAATATTAATCTCTACTAGCGTTCCAAACAGCACCCGATAACCCACTTCACGAGAATTCCAGGGACTAGAGTGAACTGTTTACTTTTTTAATCATAACTTGAACAGAAGAAAGGCAGTAAAAACTCTAAAAACAGCAGCCTTAACCAACATTGACTGAAGAGTCAAAACCTCCGCCATATGTAGGAAATCCACTCACAAGCATTTACCAATGATTCCTTCTTTCACAGCCACCAAAATTTTCCAGAATACAATTTTTAACAATGTTTTCACTTGATCCAGCTTCCAGGAAGAATCTCAAGCGTTTCGGGTTATATCAAACACAAACAGCCTATTCCCCGGGCAAACTCCAATATACAAAAGCAGGTGGTCAAACTTTGCAATAGTTTGCACAACAATGGATACTAAGGCACCTCGTTTCAATATTCTTGTTTCAGATCATGCAACATTCTTTTGCATTTCTAGGAACCGAATTGTGAGAACCCTGGGTCAATGAAATTTCTGGAAAACCAATGCGTCCATAATCAGGGAAAAGTGATTGATCATATGAAATGTAACAGTCACCAGTGTTCTCTGTTGACGAGCTATGGCTCTACCACCAAAAACCAAAACATATGCAATTCCCAGGAATCCTAACGATAATCAACAGCGATCAATTCACGGAACAGAAGAAATTGAACCTTTTTTTCACGCATGGAAATGATTTCAAGGGGATCAAACGCTTAATTAGAAAAATAAACGGACGTAAAACACAATTAGCAGAAATCAAGACCGACCCGGATGGATAAACGACAGAACAAACAGAGATCTAAATCGAAATGACGGATCGAAACGAATCGAAAATCAAATTTTCTAGACACACCCATCTATCAATCGATCGAGAGAGAGAGAGTACCGGCCACCGATGGATCTTCGGGGTGGCACTGTGGGG